TTAAACATAGGTCATATTTTGAGTTGGGTACGGCAACAAAAACCATTATTTTTTTTTCTGTTTTCAAAAGCCTATCTACCTTGGGAAAGGAAATAAGCGTACTTTTCCTACGTGACGACATATAATGATGAAATGGTATATACAATGTTTTTGAAAAATAATTTTTGCTATATATGATGAACATGTTATAAATATAATTTGAAAAAACAAAATTATAGTTAAACATCAGAGAACTTGTCACGTCTGATTGTAACCAGGCAATTTAATCTTTGTTTGACCCATAATAAATTTCCATTAGATGTTCCAGGATCTCTCCACCGTAGAGACTCCACCGAAAACCCTCAAACCAATGTTATACAAAGGTATTATGTTGAGGAATCTATATGAAACACCAATTCTTGATTAAACTTCAAATAGTTTTAAATTCTTCGTCTGCAGCAACGAGAAGTATTTCAATTTTTTTTTGATTTTGCAGATAAATGAGAATGATGTTGTTTGTTGTTATGGAGTTGACATATACACGAGAGTTTCCATCTTTTTGCAACAAATTTGCATCTAATTTTTGCAACGAATTTGCATCGATATTTTGCAACAGTTTGACTTTTGAAACCAAGACCCAATAATGTTTACTCTAATTCGAATATCAAATTAAGATCTTATCAGTTTTTGGAGTCTTGAAACTAAAAAGAATTTTGCTGCCATGACACCACTCCAACCATAAAATGACCGACTCTAAACTTGCACTGTTGCATAAGTTATATATTTTCAATGCTATATAATTATGTGGGAAAATGTACTAATACCCGAAAACTATTCGCGTACTACTTCTCCCCAAAACTAACATTACACTTTTATTTTCCCACACAATAAACATTAAACGTTTATTTCCCCACAAAGTGAACATTACACGCAATAAACATTATAACATTTATTTCCGCACAGAGTGAACACTACACGCTTATTTCATCCCAAATCCGTTTAAAGTCGGTTTACTGTAGACCAAGTTTTTTTTAACCAAATGATTAGAAAGCAAAACCGTACTTAACCAAAGTCTTGTTCGTAAAACATTCGGAACCAGAAAAACAGAGACTCTTCTTCACCATCTCAAGTTTTTTGCACGATCTAAAGAATCATTTTTGCCGTATGTCAAGAACACGAGATTGGACTCGAACACGAGAGTGG